TTGGAATAACTAGAACGAAGCTGCAAAGTCAATATTTTGCAGTGCACCACTGGGAAAAAGTTTGATATTTATACTATATATGAATTTCCTGAAAAGGAAAAAAAGAAACATAAGTAAAGCTTTTGCTTTCCATAAAACTCTGAATTCAGAGTCAGAATCCATCACTGCAGGTGGGGCAGGTAGGCACTGATTCAACACTGAACGAGATCTTGGGCCAAGACCACCCACAGTGCCTTGGCATGATTTCTGCTTCTGTACTGACCAAACTAAGAATCATGTTATTACACTACAGGAATCAAGTTCCTCTAGAGTAGACATTTTTAGAATGATTTCTGGCTGAAACTGTGTTATGACTGACCTCAAAATTAATCTGGTGTTTTGAAAGAGGGACATTTTGTTGCGGACCATCTGACATTAATCCAATGATTACAGAAAGTATGTGTAGTTCAACCAGCACTACCAGCCTTGAAGGTCTCTTGCTGGAGAGAATGGAATTCAGTATGTCATATAGAGAAACATGGAATTCAGTATGTCATATAGAGAAAGATTCATCTGCAGTGCCTGGGCAGACGACTTACTCTGTAACACCTCTGGGCCTCAAATGGAAAAGGCAAGTGAAAGCAGCTGAGAATGACAGCCAGATCTATATCAGTTATTAATGTCCCTTTATGGACATAGAAATAGATACACAAAGGCTCAAGAAAACAGAGGCATAACCACTTGGGATGCATATTTAAAAATCTGTTCAAACTCAGTTACTGACTACTTTGTAGTCCCCACCCTCTACCTTCCCCCTTAAGAGCCAACCCTCAACCCTGGGGCTATAAATTCTTACACATACTTCCATCACAACAGGTATTGTTTACACAGGAAGTGTAAGTTTTGAAAATTGTGTTTCAAACAATATTACTGAAGATTCTTGACCAGCTCTGCCCACAACATCTTTCTTTGAAGTAACCACAAGAAATCACGCCAGGCATAGCAAAATCCTTCATAGTCACAGAGCAAAAGGTTCTTCACTCATCATTTAGTGGTGGAATTTGGTTGGCATTTTATCTTTTTGTTAAGCTTTCATTCTCTAGTGCTAAAAACATTATCAGATTCAACAAACAGCTACACCTTGAATAATGTTCCTCTTTTTTCTGTACTCAAAGCACAAAGAAATAAATTTAAGCCTCATCTCTTCTCCACTGCTGAAACTAAAAACCGCACAAATGTATCCACAAGAAACCAAGTTCAGACTCACTACACAGTTAACATGAGCTATGAACATGGATAACTCTGTCCCCCATCTTGGGGCAGCCTTTGTTCCTCCATTTGCAAAACAGGTTTTTTCCATACTTTACATTTCTTCTGTACTAACAAGTCTTTTATGGTGAGTCAATAAGAGGTGGAGAGGTTGTACTAGAGATCTAGAGATGAAGGCACATTTCCAAATAGTACAAATACTTTCAGCTATATAGAAGTATAGCTTGAAGCCTCACTTAAGAGTCCTCATGTACTAAATGCTAGGCAAACAAAATGATACCTTGAGCCCCAATGGCTTCTACTATAACTAGTATAAAACATGCAGGTCTCAACAGATGAAGATGCAAGTCTGAACTTTGTTTCCCTAAACCACAGGAAAAACAGCTCGCAGCCTCCAACGTAAATAAAATAGGAAGACTCTCTCTTGGGATAAGATTTGAGTGGTGGAAACAAGTGTTCAGAGCCTATAAATACCAAATATAAAGCTGTTGTGATATTAATAACTTTAAAAGCCTTGTTTGCTCTGACTGTACAGCAAAAGTGGAGACAGATCAAAAAGAGAGAAAACATCAGTGAAAGTGCACCAAATTCCAGGTACCCCATGTAACAAGCTTTTTTTAAAAAAGGAAGAATGATTAAAGGATACATTTGCAATTACTGCATGGACTCATATCCTGCACTGTAAACATGCCTAGAGTTTTCCCACAGAACCAAATAATTTCTCTAGCTCCTTCCCACTAAAACAGCTTTACAGCCAGGTCCAAGGTTTCAAGCACAGCACCACATGAACAGCTGTCAGTCCTCTCCAAGGAGAATTTCCTAGTGTACAGACTCCTACAAAAGTCTGTAGTTTTAAAATGTCTCAGTTTTGTGCTGAGTAACTTAGATGGAATCATTCATCAGAACTGACCCAACGTGATTCGTTTCACATGCTGCAAGTATCTGTTATAAAATTTTGTGACTTGTATATTCATTTCCCTATCTAGCTGTATTTTTTTCTTTCATCTTGAATCAGTCAGTAATATGTTTGAAACCATTGTGAGTATCAGAGAATCTCAAATTTGGATTTTGGGTTCTAGATATTGAGTTCTAGCAATTGCATACAGTTACTCTAAAAGTAATTAGTTTATACTAAAGCTTCTGAAAAAAAGCCCAAGTTGTTTAACAAATATGCTATGAAGATAAGAGAAAAAGAAAAATTCAATAACTAACTAAAAATAATTATTTCAGGCAAAGTATCTTACATGGATAAAATTCCTTTGGAACTTTGGAAAGGTCTGCATAACTGTCCTGGTTTTGGTTAGGATAGAGTTAATTTTCTTCTTAGAAGATGTTACAGTGTGGTGTTTTGAATTTACAGCACATCAGTGAAAAAATCTCTTTTTCTTAAAATATAATCCAAATAGCAAAAGAAATTGCCATAGATTTCAAGGAGTTGTCTGGAGTAGCATATTCTAGAAATGAAGCTGATCACTTCTGCTGATCCAAACCTCAAGAAACCAGCAGTTAAAAACTAAAATTTGACTGCAATTACTTTCTTAAAGTAATTTTCTAATTGCTTTTTTTACTTCTGAACAACAGTGAAGAATCAGACTGGTAGCTGACTTTTCTCAAGTTTCTGACTGAAACCTGACCTCATATTAGAACCCTTACAGTGAGTGTGACTGCCCATTAAAACGAGATTGAATGCGCTTGAATTCAGAATTTCATGAGCATGATGAAATGAAGACTGTCCGTACACTGGTGTAATCCAATGCTGGTCATAGTCCTATATCTTTCAGTGAATCTCAATGCCTCTCACTTTTGCAGGAGGAAAAAGTGAAACTCCTTTAATCTGATTCATTATAAACTACTATTAATGCCTGTGGACAAAAAGCTCCAGAAAATCCATGCTTATAAATAAAAATGCACTCGTGGCTTCTTCTTTTTATTTTACAGCTAGTTGAAATCATACCTAGAATGTTCTTTCTTTAACACAGTACATGCTACATCACAGATATGATCAAGTTCCACTGATGAGACTGAAAAACACCACTAGTACCACAGAATTCATAATATGGTTTGCTTGCAAATCTTACACTCTCCAAAACACACTGCTGGAACTTTGAAAAACAGGGTTTTGGTTAATGAAGTATTGCAACAAGGATAAAGAGCAGAAATAATGCAGAATGACGGGGGGAGGGCAAACAAAAACAATCAAATAGGACATTTCATAACAAAAAAGTACTATGTCCATCTTTGATGTCTTAGAAAAGTTGGTAGCAGGTGACATCAATGCAGGGGATGGGACACAGGAAAAATGGACTTGGAAAAGGAAGCTGTCAAGATTCATTAGGAATGCCCCTTAAGGCTAGCGTAACCATTATTCACAAGGAATTCTCAGGGCTGATTCACACTTTGTCAGTGCAGAATTACTAGTGAGATTTTGTGGGCAAACGAAACACGGTAAGAGTATGTAAGTCTTTTACACTCACCTAAAATGTACACAGTGAGGAATAACCTTGTGTTGCATCTACACAGGCTTTACACATCAGAGAAGAAGATGTTTAAAGGTCCCTTCCATCCCAAAACTTTCTATGATTCTACGATTTCCAGATAAAAAGACAGTCCTGCAGTTAAAGCACTGAATATGAAATGAACAGAACTGACATTATTTTCTGGTTCTATCATATAAGCTCACTGAAAACTGAAGAATTGGGAAACCCACTTAACACCTAATTTCAGTTCCCTGCCTATAAGAAGCAGTTACTCCTTTTTTTTTTCCTTCCAGCCTTCAACTAGTTTTTCTTTTCACCAGATTATCTCTGGGTAAGGCTATAGCTATAATAACACCTGGAGTAAGAGAGAAGACCTGCAATTTAATCTTCAATTAGGCTCTCATTAATTTCTGAAGAACTAAAAACTATTCTTTAAAAGTTACAATTAAATATTAGTTTGTTTCTAACCAGTCTTCTCATCTAGTGAAATAGACACTACATAATCACAGAAACCAACCAGACACTCAGTATTTCTAAAGAAAGAGTTATGGCAATTGGTTTATCTCACATGGAATTGCAAAGAGCATGAAAAACCACAATACTTCAACTGCTTGATTACTCATTATTTTAAAAAGATATTTAAATAATAAACTCTATTACCAGTCTTTGATGTTTAAATTATAATTTACTTCAAGTTGTACCTCAAGAAGAAATAGAATTCCCTGCTAAAGTTTTTGGCTGTTCCAATGGTTTTGGTGATTGCCCAGGCCCTGCACGGTAAGGTGCATCACCAGCAGTGAGGTGGCTACCATGTCTTGGCACATCTAAAAGCTAAGCATAAAACAGCTTAAGTTTTAAAAAACAACGACCTGCAGTGACTGGCTGACACTAAACATCAGGACTACTGGTTCACATCCATGCCAGAGCAGGGGAAGGGAATCACAGGGAATGTTCTTGCACGTACCATAGCACATTCCTTGTGATATATTATAGGGAAGGAATCACAAGGAATGTTGTTGCACGGGCCTTAGCACTGTCCTCATGACATACTACAGTTATGACTGGGGTCGGTGGGAGGGGGGAAGTTTTCATCCACGTGGCTTGGGTTCTCTTTGTTTTTATTAGAAAGTCTAGCTATGTCAAGTCACAGCATCGCCACAGCGGGACGGGCAGCCCGCACCGGCGCGGGCTCGCAACGAGCGACCAGGCTCGACCTTCGCTTCAAGGCACAGGGACATCACGCCGCCACAAAATGCCCGCTGTTCCACCGCCGACATGAGCCCCGGGACCCCGCCCCCGGCCGGGCGGCTGCCGGCCAGGGCACCGGGCCGGGGCACCGGGCAGTCCCCACTCGGCCTGCTCTTCCGCGGGAGTACCGGCGACAAGCGGCTCCAGAGCTCCGAGGAGCGCCAGGGCCGCCCGGCCCGGCCCGGCCGGGACGCCGCTCCTCCCGCGCCGGGCTGCAGTCGGTCGGCGCCGGGCCGCCCCTTCCCCCCGGCCGCAGGTGCCTTCCGGCTCCGCCACCGCCTACCTGCGAGAGCCGCCCGGCGGGCGGACACCACCGCCACCGCCGCCACCAGCAGCGCGGCGGGCGCGCCGGCCATGCCGGAGCCGCGGCTCGGCGGGGCACCCCCAGCACGGCCCGGCCCGGCCCTGCGGCGCGGCGGAGTGTCGGTGTCGCTGCCCCGGCACAGCGCTCCCCGCCCGCTCTCCAGGAACGGCCTCCTCTCTCTGCTTCCCTCCGTCCCTCTTTCTCTCCTTCCCGCCCTCCTCACAGCGCAGCCCCTGCGCCGGCCCGCCCCCAGCTCCGGGAACACCGGCCTAGGACGGAGCACGGGGTATCTCCTGCCCGCAGCTCCGATTACCCCCACCACAGACGGGCTTGGCGCTCCTCAAGCCTGTGGTTGAGTCTGTGCTTCGGATGGACCTGCCCAGATGCGGTTTACAGGTGTTGCCAGTCGTTCACCCACTGCAGTGTCCCTCCATGGCCTGCCTGTCGCAAGGGGAAGCTATTCTGAGCTACCCCCAAACCTTCTCCTCTTTTGGCTGGAGCCCCCTCCCTCGAAGTGTTTGCATACCGTCCATCATGAAACACATCACGCTGCTTTAGGGAAGAAACATGTAACAGGTAGACCAACCAATGGGATCAGAAACTGGGACGAGTACAGAATCACAGAATCAATTAGGTTGGAAAAGACCTCTGAGATCATTCAGTCCAACCTATGACCAAACACCACCGTGTGAACTAGATCGTGGCATTAAGTGCCATGTCCAGTCTCTCCCTGAACACCTCCAGAGACAGTGACCCCATGACTACCCTGGGCAGCCCATCCCAATATCTAGTCACCCTTTCTGTGAAGCTTGTGAAGCTTGTGAAGCTTTCCCTTGGTGCAGCTTAAGACTGCCCTCTTGTCTGGTCACTAGTTGTCTGGGAGAAGAGACCAACTCCTACCCGGCTACAACCTCTTTTCAGGTAGTTGCAGAGAATGATAAGCAGTACAGGACCTAAATTAGAAAAAATTATGCTTTTCACACCTCATCAGTGGTGTCTTGTTCTTGAAAGCACAAAGTTTCAGTTCAAAAAATGTTTTATAGAGCATACTTGAGCCACTCATGTATAAGCCCTTACTGTACTAATTCAAATATGCAGACATGCCTTGAGTTACATAAGATATCTGTGCCAGGAATGGCCTTACAGTCATGAAATTTTCTCTGATGTTATCAGCTGGCAGGGTGTGCTGCAATGTGTCTCAACAGGTCGGTTATTTTTTTAACTTGTTACTGCCTTACACATAGGACTGGAATTTGTGACCTGAAATCTGACACTAAGCAAGCAGAGTAAGTAACTGAGGCAATATTCCAAAACTGCAGAAAGGGGAAAAAAGGTTATGACATGAATCTTTTCTCTGGGTCAGCTGTCTGGTTCTTTTCTTCCTTTGAGGTTTATAGTCATCATTTAGTCTAGATTCTCCCTAGAAATTTTTGGCAAGTTTGCTGTCTATGTTTTTAGAATAATGCATGTGGCAGGAGGGGAGATCTGTGCCCAGAGGGAGTGAAATCATGGGGAGTGATCTTCTCCCAGATATTACTTAAAAGCTTTATTAAAGATTTCAAAGACAGAGGTCTAGTAAAATTCATTCTCTTTAGACGGGCACTCAAAGAACATTTGTGAAAGACTAGAGGAGGAATTGTAAAAAGACATCAGTCCAAGATGTGAACAAGAAGAGCAAAAAGAGCACTTAACATGGGATAACAATTTATAGTGTGACAGAGACTGGAAAAGCAGATCTCCAGGTGTGCATCAGCAAAATTCTGGGCTGCAGTAGGGAAGCCTGGGGGAAAATTTTGCCTTTGCATCACTCATGAATTACATGTGTCTGACATGTACATATCCCTGCCCTGCACAGAGAGTTTTGCTGGGAGAATCCTTGGATTATACCTCAGAAGGAACAGCATCATTTGCACTGTAGACTTTGAGAAGTAGTAGTCAAAACCATATTAAGAAAAAATACTGCAGCAAGGTGCTTGAAGGTAGGTAAATGGGATTATCCTGAACATACAAGGTCTTTTGGGGCTAAATGCAGAGACAGTGGGACAGGGAGTGCAAGAGCCCTGGTATCACATGCACTCCTAATGAGACTACATTCAACACGCTGTTGAAGCCAGGGGCGCTTCTGTGCTGCACCAGGTCACCGTCTGGAGGTCTGAGTTAGAGAAGGGAAGAGAAATGGATAATGTGATTGGATCATCACACTGGATGCTGAGCTACCAAACCTTTGTAAAAAAGAATGAACCATATTTTTTCGAATACCTTATGATTCACCATATAGGACAAAATTTGGGATTATGATGCAGTTATGATTGGGTCTGTGAAACTTAAAATCTATTGCACATGGTAGCTACACCAAATCTAGTCACAAAAATGTAATCAGTCTCTAGTGAGTAACGCAGCAGTCACTGAACTGATATTCTCCTTAAACGCAGTAATTTTTTTAATTTTTTTTATCATGCTCATTTCAAAATTACCTCTTGTCCAAAGAAAGCCAATCTGCTCTGGGAGAAGGAATGGACAGAGCTGGGATTGTTCAGCCCAGAGAAGAGGAGCTTCAGGAAAGTCTTATCAATGTCTATGAACAGGTGATGGGAGCATGTGAAGAAGAGGGAGCAAGACTCCTCAGAGGTATCCAGTGAAAGGACAAGCACAATTGAGCACAAACTGAAATGTAGGAAATGGCATTTAAAAACAAAGTTTTCATCGCACTGGAGATCAAAAACTAAAAGAGGTTGCTGAGATAGACCGTGAGGTCCACATCCTTGTTCATATTCAAAAACTGAGAGGGCACAGCCCTAAACAACCAGCTGTAGGTGTCCCTGCTTTGGACAGAGTGGTGAGACTGGACAGTCTGCAGAGGTGCCTTCCCACCTCAGCTGTTCTGTGGTGCTATAATTCAGAAATCTTCATGGTCATTTAAAACAAAAGTAAGAGACTTCTGGAAATAGAAAAGTCACATCTTGAGAAAGGCCTAAATAGCTGTAGCTTTGAGCCACACTTTCTTAAGTCATTCAGGATTTTCCAGCCCTGAGTCCTACTTGCTTTCGACTGGACTTAGGTTTCTGAAGAAGTGTAGATGATGATGATGATGATGATGATGATGATTTAGTTTCTGCAGTTTACAGGTTTCTGTGGTTTGGATTTTTTAATTTTTTTCCTGTTTGGTTTTTATTACTCAAGGATTTATTATGTCTTGAAAACATACCAAGATTTGTTTTCTCCACAAAAAAATTCCAATCATGCAGTCAGAGAGACAGAAATGCAGCATATAAAATATTCTGGTTTGTATTCTTCCTTCCTCCTCTTTACGATGGTTCCAATATGCCAGTTGCATATCCAGTAGTTGACATCAGATATAAATAAGTTACAGATATATGCTCTGTCATCTCACCAAAAGCAAACACAAACCTTCAGTGGTCCACACAGATCCCCAAAGATCCTGTCTGTAATGACACTAGAGGGAGTCCTAATGCTGCAAGAAAATCTTTCTCTGTGACAATCCCTTAGGTAAATAGTGCCTTAGAAATGAAAATGTTGTTGAAATAGAGCTTTTGAGGAAAATGAAGGAGCCATTCAATTCAGATGGGATCAGACAGTATTTGAACTCTAAATTCCAAGTTTACAATGATTCATATATAGAAGTGATTTTTAAAAAGAGCATTGTTAATAAGGATTTTTTTTTCAGTAAAGAGCATATTTAAAGTCAGTATTCCAAATTAACCTCTAAAATATTGTTCTGATAATTTAAATTACAAGGGACTTGTTCTACAAAACCTATGCTCTTCTTGTTATCTCTGAAGACTTAAGATAGACCATAGGGCCCTGAGTTTTCAATTTAGACAACAGAATTTTTACTGAAATCCATATCAGTTCAGCACTCAGCACCACTTCTTCAATAAAGATAGGTTTCTCAAAAATTCATTGGTGCATCCTACAAGTTAATATGATATGCTGGTCCATGCATGTTCCTAACCATGTTAACAATTTTAAAAATCATAGATGTTTGAAAGAGAAATTTGCATGCACTCAAGACTAGTGATACTCAGGACCTCAGAATCATAGTTTATTCTGTGCCACTGGTATTGGGAATACCCATCGTGCTGTGGGAGATCATAACATGCAAGCCTAAAGCAAGGCAATGCTCTGAGGAGGATCCAAATGCAAGGGATCCAAATGCTTCCTTTCTTCACCTTGGCGGCCCATGCCTCAAACTAAGACCTCTTAGCCTGCTTCATGTATTCACCATATTCTTGTCCCTTCCAAGATCTCACGGAATGAGTGGTCACCTCTTGCTCCTTTCCTGATGCTGGGTGAGCTCTATCAGAGAGTTCTGAGACTTCATTCACAAGCAGGGCATCTAGGAAATTAAAATATTCCTTTTTTCAGGTACTGTGGCAATACAGGAGGTGGCAGTTGCTACTAGAAGGAAGGGAAAAAGTTGGTAGAATGGTATTGGTGGGTAGGGGTGCCTTTTACCTGCATAGCAATAATGTGCACTTGAGATCAAGCTGTGAAGTTGCCATCCCAATGGAGATTCCCAGTGTAAAGTTACCAAGGCAAGAGAAAAATCATAGCTATGTAAGCAGGCTGGATAGCAGTTTTTTTCTCCCTTGAGCTCTTCATGGGATAAAAGCTTAGGTATGCTTATCCTTCTTTTTCCCTCTGCAGGTGGCAAGGCCCAATTACATCAGTTTGCAGCTGTGCACATCTGCAGGCTGTGCAGTGAAGGATCTGCTGTCCTCGCCTGCTGCCCTCATATTTATACCTGAATTGCCATGGCTGCTCAATTACACTACTAAAGACTGATCTTTCTGATAAAGCAATAGAATTTTAGAAGAGACAGACTCAAAGAAGCGTGAATATATATAATATGCTCCCACAGTGAGGAGTCTGCATTATTCCCCATAGAATATGTGCTAGCAAACACAGGACACTCACCCTGTGATCTCTCCTAGTCACAGGTCAAACTCTTATAATTTCCTAGCAACACAATTCGTTATTTCATAGAATAGAATAACTAGTATATTAGATTCCATTTTAAGTATTATTGAATTCAAACTAGTATTATTAAAACAAATTTAGGAAGTGCACCAAACAATGCAGTAGCCTTTTTGTATTGGTAGGTATATGTAGCATTTACCTTGTATTATTTTTGCTTGTTTGTTCACTTTCACTATGAGGAGATATGTTTTTCTACCCCAGGTATTTACTGATTTACGTATATGCAAGAACTTCCACACTGGCCTTAAAAGGAATATCCCTTTGCCCTGAGTTCAGTGTTAAGTGTTGCATTTTAGTGTCTGCTCTTCTGCAAATCTGTATGAAAATCTCAGGTCATTTCTTTCAACAGTTCCTA